CACTTTCATGCCCTCATTTGAAGAAAACAAAAGATATTTTGCGATGATCTATGTGTTTTGGTTTTTTGTTGCTACTTTCTGCTAACCCCCTAAGTAATTCAGTCGGAGTTCCATCCTTCAGAGGGTGGTCGAACCATTTGACTGCATCTTTTCACCACTGACTGATTATGTTACCACTGGAGGAGTGCCTCTATTCTCTTTTGCACCTGCATTGCTTCAACTCAGAGAGCTCCAGCTTCAGGCATCACTGCAGTTGCATTCAGCTACTCGAATTTATACAGGTCAACACCACCGTGACCCTTCAAAGTGGGAAAAATTTATCCACTTTAAAAGTACTTTCTGTACAAAATATTCGTCGGCTCTCTAAGTTTCATTGCTTTTCCACGGTGCGAAGCAGCTCTTGGTTCACACATCCTTAAAATAGAGGGCTCATTCTTTTTAAAGAGTTTGTTTTCCCTAGTGTTGCTCGATTATTCTTCTAGGTGTATGATTAGATTTATCTCTGTGATAGTGTTAAGTCTCCATCTGGCAATGTACACTTAAATTATGTACAGTTTGACATTTGAATAAAAGTCAATTTATAGGGAGGGAGAAATTTAGCTCTTTGTCATTGTGCAAATGTTCACGAGGATGGCTTAATTTAAATGAGTGCATTACTCTAAAATTGATATGATTACGTTATTCTGTTTTGCACTTGTTGACCTGCTGCCCCTGCACTGGGTCTGGAAAAACACACTGCTGCTGCAAGGAGCAAAATGGGAAATGACAGTGTGCGTCTTGGGAGCCGACACATATCCTGACACTTTTTTTCCCCCCCTGACTGGCAAATATGATCATCGTACGATCTCTCCTCTTCCCTCTATTTACAGATAGCAGAACGGGTTCAAAGAGAATACTAATGAGCTTAAAAAATCCAGTCACTGTGTGATTCATCTCTTGGATCTCTGAAGGTGTAATTCATTATGCCAAATGACACCCAGAGCGTCTTTAGGAAATGTCCTCTGTACATAACCACCAATGCGTCTATAAATGGGGGCTTGTCACTGATACTTCACCTTTTGTCTCAGTCCATGACTGTAGATGGAGAGTAAACTCCATCTACCGTATTCTAAATAGATAGATAATTATATTTATATGTATGTATATATGTATGTTTATTTTTTTGCATATCAAATGAGGAGCCAGAGCCTGTGTTTCAGTATTTCTAATGACTCTAGTGGTTTAAACAAAAGCATCTACACCCAACAAATAAATGGTGGAGTTAATATGCTCTTCTCTCATTGATTTAGTTCAACCTGCTTCAATTTGTTATAACTCCAGCGGCCGAGGCTGTTTTAATGAAAGTGTAACACTGTGGTGCTCTCAACCGTTAGCAAGAAATGAAAATAAGACAACGGCCGTATTATTAGGGGATACTTCGGAAAATACACAATAAACCAAAAACCATTTTCTTTGGAGGCACTGTTTTAATGTTTGTGTCTGTGTCTGTGTACAGATCTGTATGTTTGCTAGTAATATTCATTACTGTGACGAGTACCTGTGGGGAGAAGCTGTCTCTGAAATGGGTGGTGCATGATTTAATGCTCCGGTAGCGTTTCCAGATGGCAGGAGTGAGAAAAGTGTGTGTGGGCTGGGTGACTGGTGTCCTTGATTATGCTTTGGGCTTTCTTTATGCAGCGGGTAATGAAGATATCACACAGCCACAGAGGGTCTGTGCTAGTAAATTTTTTGATGGAGCCTTTACTGTGTTTTTTGCCTGTACACCGTGGTGCCCGCTGTCAGAGTATAGTCTTTATGTTTAGCTGATAAATGTTAAGCTGGGCTTGGCTTAACATTTGCCAGCTTTTGAGATGCCTCACAAACTCCAATCTTTTGTTGTAAAGGTCTAAACTGGTGGTGGAGGCAGCAGATATGTGAAAGTGTGTGATATGAACAGGGCTGACCATAGTGGCCAGGACTTTTAGGAATGGAGCTTATCAGTTACAGTGTAAGCGCGATTTAATGGCTGCAGAATATTATTCAGGCTGCAGTTCAAACATGAAAACCTTTTCCTGGGATGGAAGGGGAAAAAATATCCTTAACGCAAAAGTCATACTTTTTGACATTGCCTGGAACCCTTAGGGTTCTTCTTCATTTTATTTCCATCGTTCTGTCTAAGTCCTATCAAATTTATTCAAACAACTTGTAGTTGTACCACATCAAAATGGTTGTAGATATGCTTTCAGACTCAGTAAGAGAAGAAGCAGCAAATAGTGATGGTGGAGTGACACAGTGACTGAGATTTATGATTACAACACAACAATCATCTCTGATTGTTCCACAGTAGCTGCATTATCGAGCACTCACAGAAAATCTCACAACATGGACCAGTGTTGGTTTTATGTTCATTCAGCTGAAGTGAAGGTCCGGCTTGACTTTTTGTGTGCCCTATTATCAGTGGTGGGTTCACTGTGATTTGTGCAACATTGTGAATGTCACGCTTGATTTAATGTAACTGAGGAACATAATCCCCGATGTGCTTCTTTAAATGACTAGTTACTCTGGGGCTTTACAGCTCATTGAAACTTGATGTCAGGTGCTTCATTTACAACTTCTTAGCAATAGGTTTGTTCACAACATGCAAAATACAGAATGCACCAAATTCTGTTCTTTTTTCTAGAGGAACATATTCTCACACGGTCTACTTCCAAACCACCCAAGCTAGTTAGATTTTTTTCTTGTTATTAGTATTTTGGATAATTATTTGTGCTAATAATGTGCCCCTGATGTTGAACAGCATAATTAATCAAAAATGTGTTATCTTGTACTGGAATTGGCAAAAGATGCTACATGCCTTTTTTAAGACCCATTCAACATGTGAAGAGGAAATGGTGCAAATCACTTTTAATGGCTAAATTAATGAATAACTTGCAGAATACTGTCATGAAATTTTTGTCAAGTGCCACCATTTTAGTTGACAATCAAGCTACAGAAGATATTGGAAGTAATAGCTTTTACCAAGTGTTACGTCTGAGAGGAGGAAAGCAGAAATAAACCAAAAAATGCCTCTAAATAATATTTACAAGTTAAAACATCATGGCAAAAGGAGAACCTGCAGAGGACAGTGATTCTTGATGGCGTTGATGGATGCACCTCTGCTGGATCACTAATGGATGCCGAGCACCACTTTGAGTCTTACACGAGCCACCAGAGTGGAAAAGAGGTGCCGGATAAGTTGCTGTCATCAAGAATAAGCTAGCCGGGCCTTTCCAGGTTAAAGGTGGACCTAAAATTCTCTTTAAAAACATACTGATCCTCTTTGTAAGATGCATCAAACCAGCGGTAAATGAAGACGTATCCAACATACAAGACGACTGGGATACTTAAAGGACAATGCTTCACTTCACTGCCTGGCAACCAGCAAATGGCAAATGGATGACTGAGTGATGACGGTTTAGACCTTGCGGACTGTCCTAAAACATAGACGACAGGGAAAATCCTCCTCAAAGTGTTTTGGAATGGCTCATTACCGTTTCAGCTTTGTAATCAAGAACACAGCATATTGTCGCTCCCCTGGTCTGCTTTTGGTGGAGGCAATATGGGGAAATAATTTTAGATTCAATGTTTTTCATGAGCAAAACTGTGATCAGGTAAACTCTGGAGTATATCTCATGCTTCACCGGTTATTTGAAATGATAAATCTGTGACTTGAGATCTGATTGAAAAGTCGATCAGTGGCATTGCGACTGAAAGCAGCTTTTTTTCCCACTTATTCACTAGTACAGTTCAGTTCAATCTTTCACTCCATGCAAACGATAACAAGTTCAACTCAGATGCAAATAGTTTTTTTCTCATGCGCAAGCTAATTATTGCCAGATGTTATTTTCTTTAAAGATGGCATCAGAGTTGACAGCCTTTGAACTCGACATGCTGAGCTTTTGAGCCCTGCTCTACTTCCTGTGAAGCGCAAACTTAAAAATTCAGCCAAACTCCCCAAACCGGGCTGCACTCGGGCACAGCGCTCACCCATTATTCTCCATAATGTGTGGAACATTTGGTCACATTTCTGCCATAATTGGAAGGAAAATCATGCTAATTACAAACAAAGAGGGGAAGCTGAGAGCACCCATGCTTTCCATCATCTAACCTGTCAGCATTCCTGGGCATTGGCTCAGATACATTTCAGAAACCCTGACACTGTCTCTCCTCTTCCTGCCCTGAACCGCAGCAGTTACTAATTAGCGTAGATGCTACCTGATCAACACAAACCATTCTCTCTTGTTTCCAATGGCATACCATGAATGTAAATGAGCCAATTAGCACGTGCATTACCCCGGTGTTGAGTTCACAGAGTCTTTGATTGATATTCTGTGGCACAGCAATACAGCGGATAGTCGAAGTGCCCTGTAGACCACAGTATAGCCGGGAGCGAGGAGCCCGTGTAACCCACGCTCTGGATTCACATGTGACAGAATAGAGGATGCTCGCTGATCTTCACAGTTGGTTCATTAGTGCATGTTTTTGTGTTTTTAGTTTTTAAGTTCATTATATAAAAAACAAAGCAGTTTGAGCTATTTGTTTGTCTGCTTTTAGAATCTCTTTTAGAAACCACAATTAAATATCAGGCTGTATTAGACATCAAGGCAGAAATGTTTTTTTAATATTGCCAGTTGCTGGACAGTCAATGTGCAGATTCATAGCTTCTTATTATAGGACGACGTCGTCTGATTGGCAGCGTAATGAGGTGCTCTCCTGCATTTTTCCTGTCTTTTTTTGTCTCTATTTTTTTTAAAAACACATCCTCAATTACCCTGGTCTTGAAAAGGACCTTATCCCCATGTTCTACTGTCAAAACTGACGGCATATGAGATACACATAGTATGTAAACATAATAAACCTTTCAACCTAGGCACGTTAAGTCAAAACACATTGATTTAATCATATGTATCTAAATTGAAATATGTGAACCTTTCTCCATTGATATGTTTTGCTTTGTTTCTCTTCACAACCAGCTGTTACAGGGGAAGTCCATTCCTAAACTTGGGTCCCTGGATCAGATTGAAACGGGAAGTGGCGATGCAGAGGGCCGTTACAGCGGGGAATGTGATGATGAGGACGGTTGTGCAGGCTCAGGTGGTGGAGAGGTTAAAAGGAAAGTCTCCAGAGTCTCTAAATGTAAGTCTGAATTCTTTTCAATTGCTCTAACCAATTAGCTTTTTGGTTTTCATGGTTCCAGATAAATAATTGTGATGTGAAAATTTGAATATATGTCGACGATTTTTTTTAATTTGCCATGCAAATATTGGATTCCATTTTCTATAAGATTTTAGAAGTATACCTTGTTTCTTGTCAGTGTAGACGACCAACAGAGTTGTTATGTAAGACTATGTCTTAATAGGAATTACTCCAGCACCCGTTTTATGACTGCAGTAATAATAGCCATTAAAGTTAATAGTTGCTATGGGGACATTATTGCAATCAAGGCCAGTAACTTGAAAAATTATTGCTCCTCAGCGGTTCAGTAACCCTCCATGAATCATAGTGGCTGAGCTCTCCTCTTCACTTTGTTACCTTTCCCACTCTCAGCTCTCTGGATTCCTCCTGTCCTCTCTCTACTCTCCATCAAACATGCTAACAACCTGATTAATCACCTCTTTCATTTTGCCTACGGCGACTACAAGGAAGTGGGGGTCATCTAAACACGCCATTCTATCTGGGAAAATGTTTCCTCTGCTGCTTGTCAGTCTAACTTGAGGCCTCGGAAGCCCGGGCTCAGGGAAGCCGCTCAACAATTGCTCATCTCAGGCTGTCGGGAAGCTCTGACATTTATCAGCCATTACAGCTGAGCCGCCCTTTCCTTGTCATAGGCCAGATCAGCCTGTCTCCAGTATTTATGACCTGCTGTCTGTTGTGACCTCTGTTAAACATCTGTCTCCTGGAGCCTGACCCTCACACAAACACTGAGGATTCCCTTCAGGGCTGGACCTCTGTTGTGGTTCTCACAGAATGAAGCATTTACAGCCCCAACAACTCGTTAGACACTTGTGTCCACTAATTTTAATCCCAGATTTACGGTTCAGCAGTAAATTGAGGGTATGAAAAATATACTAATATTGTAAACAGAAGATAGAGCAGGAAACATAATGACTTTGTTTTGTACAGCTTTTACATAAATAAACAATGTAACAATTGAATGGTTATTCATGAGTAATAAGTGTAACAGAGCGTTTATTTAGCTTGAGCATATTGTTAAATAGTATAATAAGATTGATTAAAACATAAAGGTAAATAATGCAAGTGTTTAAGGAATTATTCTCCATCTGTTTCTTCCGGTTAAATTGGCGATTGATGCTAATAAGTGTAAGAGTGTAAATTATACTTGATGGCGACCTTGTTACAGTCACTATTCAGCACAGTCTGCTCTTATTACTGCCATCTATATTTACACTTAAAATACTTCCAAACCACTGCCTGAACATGGATGTTAGGGGTCAACTCATATACAATGATTTTACACATGTACAGAAAACAGATATCAGATAAAAAAGATGTATAATTTGAGGTTTTCTGCTTATTTAATGTTTCAGTATAAAAACTAGGTCACTTTATTCAATATTAGCTCTAACTTTGCACATATTTGATGACTTTGTAGGGCTTGATGTCGGCATGATGCCTCCTCCTTTGGGGCTCACAGTTAAACATAAAAGCTGATCTAAAACGTTGTCAGTAGTTGACGTTTCCTGTTGACACAAAGCTGAAATAGAGCAATTTTAAAATGATTTTAAAATAAAAATGAATCACTGGTGTTCTGGCAAATGTATGCATTTTCTTCACCAATTTCAGTGTTACTATTTTTTTTAGCTTATTTATGTCCCTTCGCTGTTAAATTTTAAGGCCAAAATAATACCAGATTTAAAAGTGCTAAATGTCTGCAGAGCAAGATGACGGCACTTTTTAAATTTCTTGGCTCTTTTGTGTGTGTGAAACAATGGCCTCTGTAGCATAAAGTTTATAATTGTTTTGGACACATTTTAAAAAGATGCATAATTTTCTGCAACAGAGCCATCATCAGCTGAGAAAATAGACCAGCACAAATGATGTGTTCTGTTAGTGTATCTGGAATCATTGCAGATTTTCCAAACTACTTACATTTTCACATATCAAGGAAAGCTGTACGCAGGGATTTTGTGTTTCCGGTTTGATCCTTATGGTAAGAGCTTGAAGAAGGGCAGTAGTACTACCTTTTCTTGAGGATGATTCACCTTTCATCTGAATTCAAAGACATTTCACACTGCTTAAGTCATTTTGTGAGTTGTTTATCTGCCTGACCAGACATGAAGATCCAGATTCTGAATGGTTGTGAAATAGCCTGGAAAGGAGATTCAGTGCTGCAATGTAGCTGTTAGAAAGGTTATACTGGATACCTCATCTGTTTTTTCCAATTTTTGCACGGTTGGCTTCCTTGATTCCTCTCTTAAACCATCCATGTTATTTGTCCAAAATGGGAACATTACTGCCATTGAAGGAGCTTCTGTTCGCTTTAAGTTGTAAGTTTACTTCTGAGCTGGTACTCCTGTGTTCTGCCATGCACTTGTGAATTGGTAAGATACATTTTTTCTACATACATGTACATGTATGTTTATACAGTGCAACTTAATTAGTGTTTTAGGTGTTCTGTCTCTTTGGGTGAACCAAGGTGTTGTTTGAGTGTCCACTTCATGAGAGCCTTTCAAAGTTTTCCAGCCACTCCTGCCACATATGAACTGAGAATATACCTTTGCTTGGTCTTACTTTTTTCTCTAGTGTATATATTGTTTTGTGTAGATGTATTAGCCCATAAATCTATTGTTGAATAGTCTGACCTGGATGAACTGGCTTTACCAGCAACAACATCTGTAGTTAACAAATCTCTCTGAGCAGTCAGTGGTCGATTTTCTCATCACATTTTTGAATCAGCTGAAACATTGTGATGATAATAAGGTGAAATCTAATTAATTCATATTACACAGTGCAAAATAGGTCTCTGTCTGCTTCATATTCCCCTCCTGTGTCCATATGTTGATCGGACCTGAAGTATTAGTGTAACTTGGTTGGTGAGAACAAGAATCACAAGTGAAACAGGGTGACAAAATACAGAATTTAGAACAGCTGCAGGTCCTTGTGAGAGTTTCCAGTGTGTTCACCAGCATGGATGACTCTCCTATCAGTGCTTTAATATTTTCACATGTTCATTTTTTACTCTGATGTGTTTTATTTCATTACCTGTATAGAATTACTAGAAGATCCTTTGGAAATACAATTCGAAATTGTCAACCGTGATGTTAAACCACTGTGGTGTAAATGCAGTTTGAACAAATGTTTCAATCTCTGTGTGAAAAAAATACCACGAAAACCAAAAGGCTACAGAAATAAAAATAAAGTATTATAAATACCCAAACCATACTTCATACAAGCACGTACTATAATACGTCTTGTAGAGATCAAAACCAGCGTGTTAATGATATACCACAAAACACGCATGACAAAGTTAAAAGAAATGTAATTATCCACAGGTAAATTAATGGTTAAGGAAAATGAGAGAAATGTGACAAAAACAGATCAAAAACAATATATAATATGGTCGTTTGGTTTCTTTTTTTCACACAATGTTCATGCAAGAAAGTTAAGAGTATTATACAAGCTTTAAGACTTTGTAATGTCTTATTTACCACTGCCATTTCACTGCTAGCATGTCAGTCAATCAAAGTAGATTGACTGCAGTGATTTTGCAATCTCTTAATCAGATAAAGAGCTTAAAGACCATGTATAATTTAATTGGATTTCCTTCTCTGCAATTATTCATAATCCTTCTCCTTTGTGTCTTTGATATTTATCTGCAGAACATGCTGACAACTGATCAGCATGATAAAGAAATCAAAAGGGATGAGCTCAATACAGACAATACAAGCTTGATTTAAAGGATTATCCTTATTATGCAGAATTACTGTTGTGTGAAAATGTTATGCATGTGACAAGATGAAGCAATGCAAGCCAGGCTTTTTTTTTTAAATTTCAAGGATTTTGAAATGATTTTCTAACAATTGCAGCAAAGCAATTTTACTATCCCGTTTGACATTACCTCACCACTCTCCAGATGTATTTTTTTCCTTTTTTTTTTTTTAGTCACCAGTAATTAGATAGGTGTACTTGTGTGGCAACAACTCAGATCAAATGTAGGGAAACAGGAAAACAGAGCATCAATGATGGAAGCAGTGATTCAGAAAATCTATGATTCCAGGACGTATGTATTCGAATGAATCGTGAATTCTCTACACACATCAGTTCCTACTTTTACAGTCGGCATACCTGCCAGCTGGCCCAAAAACCCACTCATCTGACTTTAATACTTTAATTAAATGAAACAAACATTTTACCCTGATGAGTACCTCAATGTCGAAACAATTATGAGATCACAATGGTGTGTATTGCATCCAGTTACAGACCATGTAAAACATCATAACTAGTATCTTAATTAGTAATTATAAAATGCATAATTGGAATTCTCATTTACAAAATCTATAATGTAACCAGTTTCTGTGCTGCTATGTGGTCTCTGGGTATGGCTTTGAAGAACGTACCCCCTTCTTTTGTTCAGACTGCAGACATTCAACAGCTTTACAGCCCTGAATAACAACAAGAAAAGTCATTTTTGCTTTGATGTTGAGGACTTAGATTTTTTAATCGATATTTAATATTTCTTATTGCTTGTCTGTTGACTCTGTGGTTACCGCAGGCTGTATACTGATCATGTGCTAAATTCCCGATCCTGGCCTAAGGAGAACAATCTCAAATAAATGGAACGAGACAATTCCTTGTAACAGCAATTCTTTGTAATTGAGACTGATAGAATAGTTATACGCAAGGTTAAATAACATAAAAACTCTGCCAGCTTTCAATTGATAGATCCCGTTATGACATTTTGGTCTTTCATTTACAGATCACTGCTTGAGACTGCCACACACAGAGTTATGTTAAGCTGTACTGTTTAGTGAGCGGAGGATTTCTCATTGTCACTTTTTTAGTTTACGTTTTCTATCTACTGAACTAAAAATAGTGCGGCAAGGCTGATGAAAAAAAGTTTTAATGTTGTGATGGGTATGGAGGAAAAATGAATCCCCCAAAACATTTATAGCTCATATTCAATGCAAATATAGGTGTGAATTTTCACAGCAATATAATATCCCTAAAAACCACATAGGTTGTTCGACTTGATTTCTCTTTTTAGTTTCTCTGTCTCATGGTAGCTATCCCAGAAAAATAAAAAGCCGTCTTTGCAGTGGAGCAGGCAGAATCTGAGAGATATTAACTGGACGTCATTTTAGACATTCTTCATCTCCAACTTTGAAGATATCCTGACAATGGGGAGTCAGACTGAGTTGAAAACCATTTGTACTTTGTGATGGTCATTTCTCACTCAACAGCACCTGAAGACAGGCCAGACTCTCATCACGTAGCACAAAATGTTGGTCTGTTGTTGAATACACAGGAATAATGTAAGAATCATCACAGTCATCACACTTTTTTTTTACAAAGCCATGTGAACGGCTTCTACTGACGCTTTCAGATGAGTGCCACTTTAAACACTGCTTCTGCTCCATATGATTGTTTCATTTCAACTCACTCTGAGGAAATTCCACCTCCAAATCCATAAAGTTTTAAA